TCAATATCTATCTCGCACTATCTCAATATCTTTCTCATCATCTCAATATCCCGTCTCTCTCCATCTCAATATCTCTGTCCATCTCAATATCCTTTTCTTTCGCCATCTCAATATCTCACACCATCTAAATAGCTCTCTCAATACCTAACTCACCATCTCAATAACATTCTCTCACCATCTCAGTATCTCTCACACCATTTCAATATCTCTCTAAATATCTCTCTCAATAACTTAATATATCTCTCGCCATCTCAATATCTATCTCATCATCTCAATATATATCACCATCTCAATATGTCTATCTCTATCTGCATCTCAGTATCTGTCTCTCAATCTCAACATCTCAATATCTCTCTAACCACGATCTATATAAATCTCAAAATCTCAATATATATGTCTCACCATCGCAAATATCTCTCACCATTTCAATATATCTCCCCCTATCACAATCTCAATATTTATCTCTAACCATTGCAATCTCTCTCACACGATCACATCTCAATATATCTCTGTCACACCATTTCATCATCTATCTCAATATCTCTCTCAATATCTCAATATCTCTCTCACCATCTAAATATCTCTCTCTCCATCACCTTCTCAATATTACTCTCACACCATCTAAAATCTCTCTCACACCATCTAAATATATATCTCTCTATCTCTATATCTATCTCACCATCTCAATATATCTCTCTCACCATCTTAATATATCTCTTTATCACCATCTCACTATATTTCTATCACACCATATCAATATATCTCTCACAGTTTCAATATCTCTCTCAGCATCTCCAAATTTCTCACCATCTCAATATTTCTCTCACTTATTTAAATACATTTATATAACTTTCTCAAGATTGAACTCTCACCATCTCAATATCTATCTTATCATCTTAATATATCTCTCACCATCTCAATAACTATCACACCGTCTCAATATCTCTCCCACACCATCTCAAAAAATAAAAAATATATATATATATATATATATATATATATATATATATATATATATATATATATCTTTCTCACCAACTCAATATCTATCTCACCATCTCAAAATCTCTCTCAGCATCTCAATATCTCTCTCACCATCTCAATATATCTCTCTCACCATCTCCATATGTCCCTCTGAAACCATATCAATATCTCTTTCATACAATCTCAATATCTCTCTCACTATCACAGTATCTCTCATCATCTCACTATCTCTCTTTCACACGATCTAAATATTAAACTTTCTCACTATCTCATTATCTCTCTCACTATCTCAATATCCCTTTCGCTCTCCATCTCAAAATCTCTCTCACCATGGGCGATGGTGTACTGAGATGGCATTATGCAATACAGTATTTTCAAAGAAATTTGCAATTTATATGTGTTTCCTATACCTTCACCACAACTGTTAATTGGATGCGAATTGAGAACACAAAACAATAATAAAATATTAATACCACAATGCACCATTCACATAAAATACGTCATGTATGTCAAATCGTTTGCATAAAACAAAGGCGTGAAAAATATTGGAATTCAATCACAGTTTGCTCTCATTAAAACAAGATGATATCGAAGTTAAATCACATGCCGCATAGAACCAAAGGGATAGTGTGTGAAGGCGACTTCAAACATGATATTTTATGATTCTATTCACGAAAGGACAAATCTGTCCCTAAGGTGTCAGTGCGTATGTGTGTTAGTTTTAATTCCGACTTGTACAGTAACTGTACGTAGTTTACAGGGAAAAAAATATTTTTAAGCAGAATCGTCGTACTGTCAATCGGACTGTAAAATAGCATTTTAAAGCACCGACCTAACCCTCTCCTCCTCCTCTGCTGCTCATATAATGTCTATCTTGGAAATGAGAAGTCGGGTTATTGTTCACATGTGAATGATTTAATCCAATCATGATCGGCTAGATCCGTTGGGTCAGTCAAACGGTGGAACGAAAGATTTGATGATATAGAAAAACTACAACTCTCTATGTCCGATACAGTGGGTGATCCTTTTTTGACATGCTACTATCATTTTGCGTTCGATATGATGCAATACCCGGCCAAGCATTGACGAGTTTGTTTTGTAAAGACATATTTGACGTACATTATTTACACGTCCATATAGTACGTTAGTAAGGGAATCTGCTTTTAAATCTAAATGGCCGACTTAATATGTCGATGATAGCAATATCCTCACAAAAACCTCATTGCAAATAATCAATGATTATATTAAATAACATTTACAATAATCACGTACAACTTTTTATAAACTTTCGCAGAAACGTGAACAAAACTATTAACGAATTATTTCTAAGTCCACCAACTCTTGACATAAAATTCCCTGACATTAAAGCAAAACACTAATGATATTGTCAGTGGGATCCCCAATATCGTTGGGACAAAAACGAATCTAATTAAAATTTCGCACAAATAAATTAAATATATTGTTTACACAGTGGCATAAAAATCAGCAATATGGTCAAACCTTATTATATAATGAAAAATAATGGGTTGATGTTTCGCATCATCTGCTGAACTTTGGATTATGTGTTTATCTTTGTATACTGAATTGATCTATGTATAGCACGAAATGTTTCCAGCTGAAGTTTACGATTTCAAATTATTAGGTTCCAGCACGGTTCGATAAAATTAAATGATGAATACATGTATTGATCTTTATTACAATCTAACATGGTTTCATTTACATGCATCATTGTTAAATCTCACACTATATATGTTAATTATGTTTTCAGCATGCTTACTTGTTATTATCGTATTCTCGATAATGTCACTATGAAAATGAAATCATATTAGAAACGCTATTTTGCATACCAAGCGGCCGAGCAACGTGGACATAATTACATACTGAACTGAGACACAAAGACACAGTGACCTCATTCGGGGGTGCTCTTGAAACTCATCTATTTCAAATGCAAGAACAGACTAAAAGATCTAAACTTTAGCTTAAATATTTAAAGCATGTTTTCTTTTTCTCTAATTTTGCGATTTTTTTTTAATGTTGTGATCATATACTATTATTATTATTATTATTATTATTATTATTATTATTATTATTATTATTATTATTATTATTATTATTATTATTATTATTAGTATTATTATTATTATTATTATTATTATTATTATTATTATTATTATTATTATTATTATTATTATTATTATTATTATTATCATTATCATTATTATTATTATTATTATTATTATTATTATTATTATTATTATTATTATTATTATTATTATTATTATTATTATTATTATTATTATTATTATTATTATTATTAATAGTAGTAGTAGTAGTATAATTAGTTGTAGTAGTATTCCTATTATTAATATTATCATCATCATCATTAGTATTATTATTATTATTATTATCATTATTATTATTATTATTATTATTATTATTATTATTATTATTATTATTATTATCATTATTATTATTATTATTATTATTATTATTATTATTATTATTATTATTATTATTATTATTATTATTTTTATCATTATTATTATTATTTTTATCATCATCATCATCATCATCATCATTTTTGTTATTATTATTATTATTATTATTATTATTATTATTATTATTATTATTATTATTATTATTATTATTATTATTATTAATTTTATTATTATTATTATTATTATTATTATTATCATTATTATTAGTATTATTATTATCATTATTATTATTATTATTATTATTATTATTATCATCATCATCATCATCATCATCATCATCATCATTTTTGTTATTATTATTATTATTATTATTATTATTATTATTATTATTATTATTATTATTATTATATGCACGACTGTAAAGACTAATAGCGTATCTTTAAATGGTTTTCATTACAGTCTTTCTTTTGTTTTGCTATGGAATCTACTTCGGTATTACACGACAGTCATAACTGTCATTGTAATAGCATTTAAAAAGGTAACATGAGAAAAATATCATTGCTTCACAATTATTATTATTATTATTATTATTATTATTATTATTATTATTATTATTATTATTATTATTATTATTATTATTATTATTATTATTATAAATAGTAGTAGTATTACTATTAATAATATTAATATCATCATCGTTTTATTATTATTATTATTATTATTATTATTATTATTATTATTATTATTATTATTATTATTATTATTATTATTATTATTATTATTATATGCACGACTGTGAAGACTATAAGCGTATCCTTGAATTGTTTTCATTAATGTCTTTCTTTTGTTTTGCGATTGAATCTACTACTGTGATAAACATCTGTATTACAAGGTAGTTGTTTCATAATGCATATCTGACCTCAGCTTGTCCATTATTTTGAGATGGTAAATTTATAATTTCATTGATATCTAATTGATGTCTCAGCTGAATGCGAAATATTTCAATCAGCTGTCACTACACAAACTTACCAGTAAAGCGTAACTCATTGTAATACTTCCGATAACAGTGCGTACTTGCAAGTACTTCACATTCGTCTGACAAGAGTTATCTACCATGAATCAATGACGGAGATACTCTATAAATTATTGTTTTGTTTATTTTCTTCACTACGTTGTCAATCAGTCTGACTAAAACTAACACAACTGCATTTTAGTGACCACTTCTACTTTTAGCATACTCGAAAAAGGAAGAAAAGGCTACAAGAAGTACTTTTTACATTGGAATTTGTTTAATTGACGCAAACCTCTTGAATTTTAATTCATTGGAGCTTCCTCCAATTGTGTGTGTATATAACTTTTTATTTTCAACGAAGCTTTAACGATTTTTCAGTCATATCGCTAGATGTCTGAAGTGTGGCAATTTATAGTGATGACTACCATGGCGGCATCATGCCGCAGACATGTAGCATGATGTCCCAATAGTTTATCCTGACACGTGGTTCACCAGTCCCAACACGAAGCTCTTAATGCTGAGAGCCAAGCGACGCAGCTGTTAGTACCATATTTGCAAGTATGTTTTATGACCGACCAGGAATCGAACCAACGACCACCTGCATCAGAGTCAGACGCTCTAACCACTAAGCTACGGGATCCGTAAATTTGAGAGAGAGAGAGAGAGAGAGAGAGAGAGAGAGAGAGAGAGAGAGAGAGAGAGAGAGAGAGAGAGAGAGAGAGAGAGAGAGAGGGGAGAAGGACAGACAGACAGACAGACAGACAGACAGACAGACAGACAGACAGACGGGGGCGGTGATCACAACTCGGTATTGATTTTATACTGAATTTATGAATGGAGTTGAATAATGATCAGTGATGAGAGTCTTGCGATTCTGTTTATCAAATAACTTTTATTTTGAAGTTAATACTTTAATTAGAGATATCGGGAAATATGTAGTTCTTTCTTTTTAGACGACGTATATTTCAGTTGTTGCAGTGTATGGGTAAACCCAAACGCAAACTCAATTAGCTAATAGCAATTCAACAATGGATAACATTTAAAAGTATTGTTTATTCACAAATTTTAAGTCAATGAGCAACTGTTCTTTGGAAAAACAAACAACAAACAAACAAAAACAAACATTGCGCCATTATTATCGTTTCCAACTCTGGATCTTCGATGAAAATTCGTGTATAACGTCAAGAAGGTTAAGCCTTGAACAAAGATTTTAGTAAACTTCTTTATTACGTATAAACATGATAGGTACGCAGTGAAATATGCATAACAGGTCAGACAACCACTGCGTCGACCTAAATTCTGCCAAAAAACAAAGGTGAATGTATTTACTCCTATATGTTAACATTCAAATCATGATTGTCACAAGGTGGGCTTCATATTACAGTCCGTCAGTCTCATATATGTTGACTGATTAATTTACTCTTATTTGCATTTAGTTCACGTTGGGTAAACTGGCCATTTGGCAAATGTATCCTTACTTCAGAGAGCCGTTCGGGAATCTACTCCAAGAACGACCGAAAAAGTGATTTGGTAGTAATATTACAACGGGGAAAAAATTTCCCAAAATCAAAAATGTGAATGAGGTAAAGTCCCACTGTCGCAGCAAAAAAAAAAAATAATAATAATGCTGCGCACGAAACTTGGATTCATTTGGTCAAATCAGACTCACAAAACTTACCGACTCATGCACATATTTAATGCGCATACGGTCTAATAAATACCACATGTTTGCGTAATATTAGAAACATAGTATCAATTTCCACCAAGTAATATTATCTTGATACTAGGACAACCACTCATAGAACTAACAATATTATAAGCCTTTAGTAGACACGACGGGGTTTGAACACGCGATTTTCCGCACACGAAACGGACTTTTCTAATCACTTAGGACACACACACACACATATCACGCACACACACACACACACACACACACACACACACACACACACACATATATATATATATATATATCTATATATATATATATATATATATATATATATATATATATATATATATATATATATATATATATATATATATATATATATATATATATATATATATATATATATATCCAATCATGTACAGTTCTGAGCTGGAACAAATAAAGAGAAACTGCCTCGCATTACAGACATGGACATCAATCTTTAATAACGAAATTTGACCATACTCCGTATGTGTCTCTGGAGTTATTTCCCTTACATTTACGAACAATGAATCGAGTGACTGTATTGTGTGTGAGTTTAATCCTCGAAACATATGTTCTGGAGCATGATTTGAATATATTAATAAGCAAATTGCATTTTCCAACGTTATTACGACGTATATGCCATCCGGTGGTACCAAAAAACGTGATATTTTAAAAACGCTGTTCGTTAATATAATACGGTTTTTGGTACTATACAATTAAATATAGCCATTATTAGCGTATGATTAGAAATAACCTCAATGTATTGGAAAGTACTCTTCTTTCATAAACAGTACTCAGTTGCAATTTATTCTTTTTATTTTTAAATGTAGATACAAAGATGAATGGGTAATGCTGGATTCTAAAGACATAAATACCGACTATTTTGTAATCAAGTTTTATAATGTCAATAAATCAGGAAGATAATGAACGATATGCCAATCTTCAAAATATCATCTGAAATCTCTTCATTGTCTCATTGATGTCGCCAGTTTTAATTGGGAATGTTCACGTCGTCTTCAGTCAGCCAGCTCATATGCCATCACTCTCAAAAATTAATTTCAAAATCTTGGTTTTAGCCGTTGTTAGGTAACAGCAATAAAATGGCTACATTTTATTGCGACCGCTGAGATGTAACGACGCCATGGAAATACCAACTGACCAAACTTCAAGCCTTTATGGCAATTACAAAACTTAACATGCTAATTTTTGTTATTGAAACAAACATTTGTTCTTATAGAAAAGAGAACAAACTCTTGCAACTCCGATCGTGTGGAAGAAAGATTACGCGCTTAGCTGTTATGTAAATTGTGTCAAATGTATTCATCGAACGCACTAATTAATCATGTACTAAAACTAAAAATGCATAAATGCACAATAATTAAGTATATATTAAAATTATACATGTATCTAAGCACTAATTACGCAATTACGCATGTATTACGACTACACACACATATAGATAGATAGATAGATAGATAGATAGATAGATAGATAGATAGATAGATAGATAGATAGATAGATAGATAGATAGATAGATAGATAGATAGATAGATAGATAGATAGATAGATTGTGTGTGTGTGTGTGTGTGTGTGTGTGTGTGTACCAAGACGTTAATGAACAACTAATAAAATCAGAAGACGATGGCTGTATCATCAAGGTTAATAGTACAATATGAGGGTAAAAAAAGATCAAAATGTATTCCCAGTGTGAAAGGTGGATGCGCCCCAGAGATAATTAAAGTCGTTAATGATTAACGTAAAAAAGTTTTAAAATGTACGATTTATTACGACTACGATTATTTGAAAGAGCAGCAGACATTCACTCGACGTTAGCAGGACATACGTACACAAGACACTATATTCCTTTTCAGAAGCAGCTTGGGGCAAATGATCAACCGCTGCCAGGACAAGAACCTTATAATGAAGTTGACGTCACCGCGATGAGACGTTATATCTACCATCACAATCATCCCTTGGACAAATCAGGTTGTGATCGCTCGATAACACCCAGGATGTTTACAGAATCAGAGAGGCGTTAAAACAGCGTAGAAATCAGTCGCTGTTCAATGGAGTGGATATCCTAATGAATTTAATTATATGATTTATACCATTTATGTTCCGCAATAGTCTCGTTATATCTCTATTCGAATTTCGCCAATATACCATTGCACAACACTGGTTTACACATTGCAGCTTAATCATGCAATCCCTTTACGTAAATAATTTTTGTTTTTGGAAAATTCAAACTTGACAACATAACTTTGCCGTCAATGGATCTTCCCAAAAAAAATTTGAACATTTCTTTCAGTCTTGATATTCGAATCGATGTGAATATTCTTTATCGTCAGAATGGTCCCCTTAACCGATAAGATTATTATCGTCGTGAAACATCGTTTTATATTAAAAGTTTTGTTGTTTAATGTATGTCCGTGCGATGTTTTTGATGTTGATGGCAGTATTTCCTGAGAGCAACTTCCGAAAGAAAATCAGAGGCGCTGAAGACACGAAAATAATACTGACCGTGATTTTACGACGTGGGGGGGTCTACGTCCGTCGTTAAAACCGAAAATTTCGATTATGCAGTAGAAGGATCTGTTTGGGTGTTAACCGGTATCATCAGCGCACGTTTTAACATGTCTGCGCTACGCGGTAAACAATAGAGTTAACAGTGTTGATCTAGAACAGTCAAATGTGTGCAAATGTCATAAACAACGACGATAATTTCAAAGATAAATTCTTCATGTTAGCAGTCTTATCAAAGTTATACCATTCTCAAACGAAAATCTCCAAGCGGTTGAATAATTACAAGCAGTACCAAAACACTTTAAATTTCAACATGATTGATTTTCTAGTGCCGTCGAAGAACATAGCATTGTTCGAACAAGCTAACAATATTTGCGTTAACATTTTTGGTGTATAGGATCACTACACCGTTTATACCTTGCTACTATCAAACTCTACACCGTCAGGTAACGTGACCGATATAGACTTGTATATTAGATAGGATAGGGGAGATTGGAACCCGGACCAAGGGCACTGCTGTTAGATTAATAACATTCCTGGGTTACTGCATCATCAAAACGTAAAATATCATAAACATATTACTATCGACAACGCTTACAATGATATGTGGTTGCTGGATAATGCTTACAAGGATACGTGGATGCTGGACAGTGCTTTAAAGGATACGTGGATGCTGGACAATGCTTACAAGGATACATGAATGCTGAGCAGATACATATTTATTCACTGAACTGTACGCAGAGAATTATTCGGCTGAAACTCAGTGGGATAAAAACTAGTATTTGTTGTCGCTAAACACTTGGAAAGTACCATCCGTATTCCAGTGATAATGTAGACTGATTTTGAGTCGCTGTATATACCTAGAAGCTAGAGCTGAAAATGATATGGATAAGGCATTCACCAGAAAGTACCAGGATTACATTCATTGTTCTTTTGCTTGCAAGGTCATCCACGTTAACCTGATTTTGTCTAAACACCTTGTGCTGCTTCGAGGACCGAATTGTGTTACTAAATTTATCGATGAATTGCTGAGCTAGATTAACACGATTAATCAGTATTAGTGCAAGCGGTGTTACTCAAAATGCGTGGTTATTGTTCGCATACGATCATCAAATAATTTTGGAAAACAATAAAAAAAATCGATAATGTTACAAAAAATGGAAAATAAATGTTGTTTTCGTTACGCCGATTGACGTTCATGTATGGTTAACAAATTATGAACGCCTGGATGATAAGAAAGAAAAACGACAGGATTCAGTCATAACCAAAGATAGGTTCAAGATGTTTATGAGTCAGTATCGCGCAAATGGATTTAACATTAAGAGTGCATGACCGACTTCGAGAACTTCACGTAAACGTCACAACCCAATAAGGCGGCGTTGGACGGGTGAAACGATTACAACTGCTAATAACGCGAATAT